TCCAGCCCTCCGCCTTGCCGCTTTCCTCGTCCTCCCCGGGTTTGGGGGTGGGTTGTTTCTTGCAGAAGTTGCGGGGGAGAGGAGGGACGCCGTGAGCAGCGCAAAGCTCCTCGTCTTCTTGTGCCTCGTAGCGTTAGAGCGGCTTAGCTTAATGTGCTGTCTCGGAGAAACAGCGGTGGTCAAAATGATGGTTTGGTGTTCAGTTTCTAGGGTTGACGGCATTTCTTGATGTTACAAAAAGTTTGGGTGTTGCTGATGTGTAAGTGACATCTCGCAATCTAACTTCTTATTTTTCTGTGCCTCGAGAAGAAACTTGGTGGGGGGAGGGAGCGTTAAAAAAAATTACAGCGCTTTCACTGAGGTGCAAATGATAGATTGTTCTGTCAGTAAGTAGCACATCTAAACCTGCGTATTCAAAGCTGGTACCTAACTTCATGTCTGACCTGAGTTAGCAGTAAACTGCCTTAAATGCTGAGTGCCCTAGCATGTTTTGTAGTCAGTGAGAAATGCGGGTGTCCATCAGGTGCAACTACCAAGTTTAGCCAATTTTACCATAATGAGCTCTATTCCCAAATTTGCACTGCATATATCATTTGAAACAACCTTTCTGTGGCAGCTTCGCCACTGCATATTCTTCAGAAGGAGGCCCCCCAAAATGCTTAGTATAAGGCTCTAAAATTGTCACCTTAATGTGACATCTCTGAGCTGATAATCCATGAAAAAGTTTGAGGCTAGGAGCCCACCTAGTAGTCTACTGCCTACAGAAGCTGGGAACTATTGCCAAAGGGTTCTGATGACTTCCTCGTACCACAAGAAGAATGTCGGAAGTTGATAGTGGAAATACCTGTAGTAAGCAGTCAGGTTCCCTTTAGCGAGATAGCAGCTACGCTGCCTCTTCTACTAAAGCAGTCAGATTTGCAGAGGACAAAACCCAAGTATTTGTCTGTGTGCTTCTGCTGGTGCCTGTCTGCAGCCTGCTTGTTATTTCCCCAGCACTCTGCTGGTGGAGCCGTTCACATGAGTACTTCTTAATTGGCTTCAGGCAAAATATGCCAGCTCTCATAGACTACACAACAGCAAACCTCTGGAATCAGTAATTTACAGCTCCCTACCAGCCTATGCTAATACTAGGGAGAAAATTGTGATCAATTTATTTTAATTCCTTCAAGACGGTGGGTTTATTTGCTTTGGTAAATATTTGGAAGTATAGTTGCTTCCTTTAGTTGAAGATTACCTTTCTCAGTGAAATGGAGACAGTGGTGAATAATTCTTCCTACGAAATGTAAATGTGCTAGCTCTAAAGGAGGAAAAAACCCAAACCCCAACAACCACACACTCAGAAACCTTTTATTGTGAGGTGGGGTTAAAATATGTGAAATTTATTTCGTGAAGAACTACTGAAGCACTACAGCTTTTAATTGTGTGTATTTATTTTTTATTAGGGCGTAGTTTCAGGTTTGGGTACAGTTTCCTTTTGTTCTGCTTTTGTTACTTTTATTTTTCGAGGTACAGTTTAAAAATGCAACACAATGAGTAAACCAGAGTATAATTCTTTCTTCGTTGTAAAGTGCTGTCATGCATAATACATATAGACTCTGCTTATTATAAGCTTTTGATATTCAGTAGTAATCCAGTGACTTGTGTGAGAATATTAAAGCAATGTTTCAAAGATCAGTGCTTTTTAAATTTGATCTGAGACTCTTGCTTTGAAAAAAAAGGGCTACTGCAAAAAGTGACACAACTTTTATTGATCCCCCCCCCCCTCCATTTCCCCTAACTGAATTTAGTAATCAAATACATATCACAATTCCAAACTGGTTTATACATGTGAATACCAGTGGTTCCTCTGAAGTCAGTGGAGCTACTCCAGTTTGTAAGTCTGTGTGCTTACAGTATTATGGGTTGTGGTCTTGTTTTACAGTACATATCTTTTCCCATATTTGGTTTCCTCAGGTGATATAGTCAAGCATTTTGAATGAGTCATTCCACTGGGACTTGGGAGAGCAATGGCTATTATGACAGCTATTAAACTAAGTTACAATTTCACACAAACAAGGAAAGATAAAGAACATAAAAGATTCAAAGCCTTCGTATTTTGCAGTCAAGCTAGTTTAATTAACCTCTTCTGGTTCCTGGTGTAATTTAAATACTGATATTATAATTTTCGGTGTTCTCAGGAACTGATGAATAGATCTTCATTTCCAATAAAATCTCAGCATAGGATTTAGGTCTTTCTTGAAACAGTGGTCAGTCAGTACTACTGTCTGTTTTAAAACTGTGGTGCAACGTGGGAGGGAAATGGTAAAAACCAGCAGTGATAAGATAGTCCTGCGTTATGGTGATTTTTTCATTACCTGCATTGAATGATAATTGTTATTAGCATTAATCACAATGATTTACAGCACAGGTTGTTTATTGTTACAAATTATCCATTTTCAATTCTCTTGTGTATACACTCAAATACAAAGTAAGTAATAATCTTATTTAATATATAGTATTGTGTGTGCACCTCCTTCATCGGAAAGGAAAAGAGAATTTGCAAGAAACTGTCTAAACCTATGGGCATTTGGCTCCACCTTCAGAGATAAGAAGGAACACATAACAAACCTTTGACTAAGCTGCCCTGCCTGCCTTCTCTCAAAAGTATAAAAGTAGAATTTTTTCTCTGTGTCCTTGATGAACTGTAAAGGATAGTTGTGTGGAGCTGATGCCTGGACCTATGTTTTAAGATACCTGTGTGATCAGCAGCAAAAATATGAACATCAGTGGGACAGCCTGTGATTAATGTTAGTGTATGCTTTGCAGAAACCAAGCCTTAATGCAGTATTTCTGCATATGGCATTTTAGGGGAAGTGTCTCAAGGAAGTGGCAGCCCAAAGTTTTATTACTTTTAATTTATGACATGTTATGGTATCCGAACATTAAATGGATGTGAGAATGGCTAAGTCTGTGTAGAGGGGCTGTGATAGAATAATAATGATGCCTTTTTTCCTTCTTTTGTTACTCCCTTAAAGCATGGTTCTATTTTGTGTTTTCGTGGGAGAGTTTGCTTTGTTTTCCCAAGTCACATGTTGTAATTCTTTTTTCTTTCTTCTCTTATATATTAAGAAATAATTCTGAACGTGTTAATTTTCATTTTTCTTTCTAGGTTCTGCCCAGTTGATATTTAGTGTGACAGATGTTGTTGAAAAAACTGACTGTAATAAAACTGTCGTGTTACCTTGCTATGTGACTAATCTAAAGGAGAACGATGCAAATGTCATGTTTGTTACATGGAAAAAACAAGGAAAAGTAATTTTTTCTTTTGATGGAGCAAGACAGGAGTTTTTCAGAGATCCAGCGGTTCCGTCAGCTAACTTGTTATCTCGGGCGGATTTACCCAAGGGTATTGCCTCTCTAATGCTTAACAGCGCAGAAGCAGATGTTGGAAATTACAGTTGTGAAGTAACAGAATCAAACAGAGAAGGAGAAACAAGATTTGAACTTAGAAAGCACTCAGGTGAGTTGTCTGCCGTTGTTTTAGAACCTGTTGGGAGAGAAAACAAGCAAAATCTTATGGGAAAGAGAAAAATCATGAGTATGACAATGTATTACTTTAAATTGAAAATACAAAAAATGTAGCACCCATGCCTTCTAACTTGAATGCTAATATGAGTTATTTTGGATTAAGTTATAGGGGAGTGCTTCTGTGGGAAAGATCTGAACACATTTTTTCATTCTGTAATAATGTCTGAAGATCACTTGTCTAATATATTAAAATCTGTGCTTTCCCACATCTTTTAGATTATATAGTTGGTGATATTTTCAGCATCCTCATGTTTTTGCATTACACACTGAAACGTATTCCTAATATCTTTGTAATACTGAGATGTATACATCCATCACAGTGACTGCAGAGATCTTTTCTGTGAAGAATTGCATCTTGCAGTCTTTAGCTATGCTGGAAAAATTACAGATAGAACTAATGGAAGTTCTGTATAAGAGCTCTAAAACTTGATCTGAAGGCATGCAGTTTTCCAGTGAGGTTGAAAATGCTACCACTAGATGGTAACTTGTTACAGTTATCTAGCATTAAATGTTGTCCTCAGAAGACAGTGTTTAAAATAATGGTGACTAAGTGATGAATTTCTCATTTAGTGAGCCATTTTACCTTATCTTGTCAGACGCAGCCCATGTGCTCTAGCGCCTCAGCTATTGAATAATGGGATCTGCTGTACGTGTGTAGTCTGTCTAGTATTCTGCAGAAGGGACAGTTTCACTGAACGTATGTGTGTATTGTTTATCTGTTCTGCACAGGAGACTTGCTTCTTGCTTCTGGAAAGCTTCTCAGAAGCACTGAATATGTTACATATGCGTAGCACATGGAGTCTTACCTGTGCACTGTAGAATTGTCCTAGAATGTTTTTCCTATTAGTTTTTGAATTTGTCATTAACATTATGAAGCTCAAACAGATGTTACTTGTGTCCTGCTGCAGACATCTGTGTAATTCACAGTTGGGTCTAATTATTAAGTTAACTATATACACTGCAAAACAATGTGATCTTGAAATGGATTCAGAGGGGCGCAGCCGCTGAAAGAGTGAGGGTGCTACAAAATCATTCGGTTCTTAGAACACTGCAAAAACAGGGGAAAAGGTATAGGCAGTTTTCTTCCTTCTCTTATAGCTTCTTCCTTACTCAACATTTTTGGACTGTGTTTGCCATTCAGTGTTAAGCTCTAGAAGAGGAGGATGTAATAGAATCAAGTACCATTTGCAAGTTTTACTGTTTTATTTTTACTTTCTATGTGTTTAGAATTTTGAAAGTGGTATAAAGACTACAAAGCAGGAAACTGATGTAATTTTTCTAATTTCATTTTCTAGTTGTCAGTTGCGGCGAGGAAAATACCCCAACATCAAAGGAAAAATGTGGTTGGTGAAGAACTTATAGTTCAGAGGTCACATTAGGTTTGAGGGTATATGCTAGAAAATGTAAAACTTAGTCATAATGTTTGAGGGCTTAGCTGAAGGTAAAACAGTCACTTGTTCTCTCTTTAAATTTTTCTGCATATTTTTTTGTTGTTTGTTCCTCAGTGTTCTAAAGAGACTCTTGAGATAATAAGCTAATAGAAGAAAGTGTGGCAAGTTGGTTTTGAAAAGGGTTGGTGAATAATGGAAATCCTGTACCAGTCTTCACTCTGTCATTTCTGAGCAATGAATTCATGCTGTCACTTCCAATATGTTCCAGTTGATGCTTTTCCAAAGATAGTCTTATAAGAGCCAGCTATTCTCCATCTCACTTTACAGAGTTCCTGGATTCATCTAGGAAGTGGGTAGCAGAGTGAGCAAGATTTCTGTGCCAGTGCCCTCATCTTGGGGCACACTCTTTCCTGATCAGTTATCTTCACAGGAGAGTGACTGTAAAGTTTCCCCTTTTTCTTTTCTTTTCCTCTTTTTCCCTCTCCCTCCCCTCTTTCCTCTTTTTCCCTCTCCCTTGTCTGGAAGTCTCTCCTGTTAGTTTGGAACTGACTTCCTTATATTGGCTCTCAGAATAGTACTTTTCACCAGTAGTTTACTTTATTGCTGTAAAGCACCAGAGTAAGGGAAATGTGTTACCAGGAAAATGTGTTCAGCTGTTTCCCTTATTTGCACGTTGCATGTACCAGCGGCATTGCAAGCATTTCCATACAGGAAGTGTTTTCAGACTCTTGAGACTGGACCGTATGTGGTTCCATGTTGCATGCTGAAGTCCTAGCAGATACCAGGCTTTATGGCTGCTTTTTTTCTATTTGTAATACCTGGTAGTGTCATCTGGAAATGCTAGAGGAAGTGAAGCTGCTTTAGAGTCTCTGCTTGCAGATACTTTCAGTTCATTAATAATTCTCAGTGACATTGAACAGCATTACTGTGATTTGCCTGTAGGATTTGGCTTATCTGGAGAATGGCAACTGTGCATTGAAGTTACTGTTCAATATTAGTTGCTTTTTTGAAAATGCAAATGAAGCAAAAAGCCTTCCTTTAAACAATTAATTAATTTAGGCTCATTTTGGCGATAAGGAAGCTGGCAGATACTCCTCCATTTCTGTGCCTTTAGTATTGTCGTTGTTTACCCCCAGCCAGCAACTAAGCACCACGCAACTGCTCACTCACTCCTCCCCCTTCCTAGTGGGATGGGGAGGAGAATCAGAGAAAGGAAAAAAAAAAAAAAAGGTAAAACTTGTGGGTTGAGATAATAACAATTTAATAACTACAGTAAAATAAAATAGAACACCACCACCAATAATAATAATTAAAAAAGGAATATTCAAACAAAAAAACCCAAACCCAAAAAAAGACAAGTGATCCACAATGCAGTCGCTTGCCATCTGCCCCTCCCAGCCAACTCCACCCAGTTATAAACTGAGCATGACATTCTATGGTATGGAATATACCTTTGGCTAGTTTGGGTCAGCTGTCCTGGCCATGCTCCCTCCCAGCTTCCTGTGCACCTGCTTGCCGGCAGAGCATGGGAAACTGAAGAATCCTCACCTTAGGATAAGCACTACTTAGCAACAGCTAAAACATCAGGGTGTTACCAACGTTATTCTCACACTAAATCCAAAACACACTGTACCAGCTACTAAGAAGAAAATTATTATTCTTAGTAATTTAGTCTTAGAGAAAAAGAACTCTATCCTAGCCGAAACCAGGACAAGTGTATGTTGTGATTTCCTTTGTATTTATGTTATAACCACAGTAGCTTCTTCTGTCACCCCTTGCCCAGGGAGGGGAGGGGGAAGAGGGGAATTTGTGGATTTAAAACTGTCCTCAAGGCATTTACTTGACTTTGAAAGTTGTGAGGTATTGCTACTTAATTCCATGCTTCTGGAGCTGCAGATGCAGCTTTTAAATATGGAGAGTAAGTGCAAGGAATATGCATCTAAATGAAGATTAGAAATTTCTTTGGAAGCAAGCGTGCGAGCAGAGGGATGGTGGCAAGTATAATGTAAGAAATGGAGGCTTTGGATTCCACTGAGCGAGTCTAAATGAAGTTACAAGCAGAGATGCAAGAATCAACTGCATTTTCTAGTTCAGTGGAGATATTTTCAGAATTTTATGTTGGAAGGTGGCTTACATGGTCTTACAGCACGAGTGACTGAACAGCCTAAGGCATCCAAGATGCAGGCAGGGAAAAAAGGCTAAATGGATGATGGTGGGAAGACCTAAAGGAAAATGTGTCATTTCTGAAATTAACAAAGTACTGTTTCCTTCTCATTTAAGTTAGTTCCTGTATTCCTTATCACACATCTGGATTTCTTCAGGGATCACAGCAGTTGGAGGTAGAATAGGATAGCTGGGGAGGCACTAAATTGAACTTTTCCTGTCTTTCCTGCTTAGCCTAAATACACTGTTTTTCTGATCTACTGTGCTGTTTGTAGTTCCACAAGCTAACTAGCTTGTACTATCAGACAATAGCGTAAACATATCCTCTGCTCCAGTGGAGGTTAAGACCTCCAGTTTGGAAAATGTTAGGGTAACTAGAAATACTGAAAAAAGATTGTCACATATAAGATCAGAGTGAAAAATACATAGGTATAAATCATAGTTTTCTTAACCTATTATACTCTTAATGTTAACTATTACATACAGTATTGAGTAATCTAGAGCATAGTCTAAAAGGAGCAATAAATGTAAAGCTAATAACCTCAGTTTTTGTTTTCTTTCTGCCATTTTTCTTTGTTTATTCTCTAGGATCATGGTTTCTTCTAGTGGAAAGGGCTATCATCATAGCGTTGCTGTTCTTAGTTATTATTTTGTGTTCGGCTCAGTTAAGTGTTATTGGTAAGTATTGACTCTTTAACTCTTTGTAATTATTGATTTGTTCTAAAAATCACTTGTGTGCGCAAAGGCATCTGTGTAAGATGAAAGATGGTCCTTATATCTAAAAGATGTGTGGTAGAATTGATCCAGATAATACACAGAGAGGTGGTACATCTGCTTTGTCAACTAACTTGGTGTTTGGTTTGCTCTGGAATCCTCTCCTGATCATCCACGCTGTTACATACTTTTGTTTCTGGGCTTGCTTTTGGCATGAACAGTTACCACCAGGAGAGAGTTAACTCCTATATAGTTCTCAAGATAGTTCCTAATAAGCACTGTTATTTACAGGCTTGGTCAATAAGAGCACAACAAGCTACGCTCTTCTGCGCTGCATCGTCTTCCATTTCCTTTTCAGTGAGCCCTGCACTCTTTCAGGACATACACATTTTTGGCATCCAGCTACGAAAACACTAGTCTGCCGTAGCATTTGCAGAGTTTGGGACCTTTGAACTGAAAACATGACCTCATCAAAAAGATGCGTGTTTTGGGGCTTCAGTGTGCCATATAATGCTACAGTCATGCAGTGTAAATGCAGGCACGCTGTCATAGGGGGTTTAGCCCTAAGCAGTAGGATCTGGGCCAGTCTGCTCTATTTGCTTGGAGGCCAGGGGTTGCTTTCTGGGGTTAAGATTTTTAGCAGCTGTATTTCTTCATGGACAAAGGTATGATGTGCAGCCTAAAGGGTCTGTGTTAACAGCTAGTCTACCATGTGGTGATGTTTCTGCTGCCAGTATTGTTGCAAATGATGAGCTTTTTTGCATGTGTGTAATTTTTGTGGGGTATAATTGATAATGTCTGCTGTCATTGGTTAGAACAAGGAAGCTTTTCTTCACTGTTGGTTTGCCATGACATTATTGAATCATTAGAAAGAGAAAGATGTTTCATTTTATGGTCACAAAATCAATATTAGAGAAGGATGGTGCTCTCTTAATGTAAAATTCTTCATTGGTCTTTTAGCACTGGCTGAATTAGAATTTAACACTGACGTCAATTATTCTGTTAAATGTTTTTAGAGGCAATACGTTTACCGGTGTCAGACACCCTTAGATGTTCTTTATACACTGGTGTCTAACATCTATGCAATGTAGAGTGTGTTTTATGTCCTAGTCTTTCAGAAGGTTCCCTGTGGTGGAATTTGTTACATCAGTCTTTGAGTTTTTTTCAGCCTTTTTCAATTTGTAGACTTCTAAAAAATTAAAAAAAAAAAAAAATTCTGCTTAAGAGTCGAGTCCGTAAGAAATGGAAAGAAATCGCACTCAGAGTGATTTATAATAATCACATACATATTCAACCATCTCTATATATTTTTCTTATTACTTTTTCATGAACCTCGGAAAATGGTACGTGACTCTTCAAAGGTCCAGCCGAGGTCAGAGGTTGAAAACTAATACATATATTTTTAATTATTTTATTTCCATACTGTTAGATTCCTGATTTTCATTATTGTTTATAATGGTTTAGGAGTCTGATGTGTCCAGGAATTGTCATTGCCTTGCATTTGTAGCAGAACTTTTTTAACATTTTTAGCGTTTTGATAGGAAAGTAATAATTGTCCTGAAATAGGCATGGATACATCCATGGAGAAGCACTGTCATTTTACAGGAGTAAGTCGAGCCTGCTTGGATTTTTTTGCATCTCCGCACTTTATTGTGAGGTCTGTGACCTCTGTGGGGAAAAGTAATTGTGCTACCTCTAACTTAATAAATGTGGGTGTACTTACTGTTTTTGTTGTTTGGGTTTTTTTTCCTTTAATTTGCACTGGTTTAGTTAACCTGTGAATCCCACAATGCTGCAGTATACCTTCAAATAGTTTGTTAAACTGGGCTTGATTTTTCTGTGTAACACTTGGCACTATATGTTTTCTTGGTTTTGTGTTTTATGGGAGGGTGGTGGGTTTGGTTTTTTGGGGGGTGGAGGGTTGTTTGTGTGTTTTTTTGTTTGCTTTTTTTTTCTTGGTTTGGGGTAGGGTGTTTTTTTCTTACAGGATTGGCTTTTAGGATTTAAGTATAGTGTATCAGTTGCTTATTTTTGCGTTTGTGTCTTGCTTTCCTTATTTAGCATACTTACAATGTGAAAAATATATGAATTTCCACTACAGATATGCAGGAAGTTTTTACTATTACTACTATTCCAAATAAGTTTTTGGTTTAAATGACAGTAGTACTTGAGAGTATGACTGAGGTCCTGTTGTGTTAGGCAATGTGAATATAATGAAAGATAGAGTTTTAATTATGAGAGAAGGTATTCTGTAACCCTTCCATAGATAAGGTACTATTAAAGATTTTGTCATACATACCTTGTAGAATATTTACTGTATTCTCATGATTTTTTTTGGTGTGCTAATGCAGTGCATGTAAGCGGGATGTTAGTTCTGTACATGCTCCTTGTTCTTCTTTTTGAAGTTACTTACAGTATTTGTTTGTTCTCTGTTTGTGATTACCAATTTCAACATATACCAAGGTTGTTGGTATATGAATTTTCAAGCTTGGAGCAAGAGCTGCCTTTTTTTGTGTCTTAGTTTTAGCAGTGTATAAGGCAGTAACAAACACAGCTTATTATGACGTTGTATTTGTATTGTTCCTTCTTTTCCAAAGACTACTAAAGTGCTGTTGCTTTGAAACCCTCCACTGGAATCAACCGTTTCTGAGATGGCAACTATTTAGCAGTGCAGTTTTACTGAAAATTAGTCTTGTCTGTGGCATCTGAACATGCAGGTCATCCCTTATCCACTCATCCTCAAAGCATTCTGGTGAGATGGGAACATCACCCTATTCCCTTGGGGATGGAGGTGATACATCTGAGCTCACACAGTGTCATGGAGAAGAGAATTAAACCTGGGATTTCTAAATCCCTGTCTGACACTCACCTGGGTAACAAATTCACTGTAATGTTATTTAAATGTCAGTAGTGCATCCACTTGAATTAACGTGTACTGTGTCCCAAAGTAATTTTGATAACATATCACCTGAAATGTGTAGAAGGTGGAATTAAGAATTTTGACTAGAATGCCAGGTTTCATTTTTTTGAGTAAGCTATATTAACCATGTCAAACAATGAAAACAACCAAAATCTTGGTAGTATACATAGTTCTAAATTTTTAGTAGTTTGTTCCTTCGTTTAGGACAACAGTCCTAATCATAAAATCTGTGTATTTTAGTGAAAGAATCTGTATGTCTGATTGTTTTCCTCTCTGTCTCTCTTTGTTTTGTATTTAAGCATTAAAATATGAAATTGTACCTCAGAAGAAAACAGGCATTCTTGTAGCAAGTTTCATCTTCACAGTTGCTGCTGTTGTAGGCACTGTTCTTTTTGTCCAAGGTAAGTGTATTAAAATTGCCTTCCTAGTTTAAGGGAATAAGAGCACAAATGAATCTCTTCCATGCAGTAGTATTGAAGTTAGTACCCCCTATTAATTGCCATCTGCTAATTTTAAAATGGAAAAAAGAAATTGCAGAATACAACAGAAACAGCATTGTGGTTGTCAGGCCTACAGATGATCATAGGGAGATACAGACTCCAAATTTATTTCTATTTTCTGTCCTGCTACCTTGGATGAATATTAGGGGCTAGGGAGTGACTTCTGGTGCTTCAGTGGGATTTTTTCTGGACCATAAAAGCTTGGTGATAACTAATAATTTACTTTTGTTGCTTTGTTCCAGTCAAGGATTTCTGTTTTACTAATTTCCATACAAATGTTTGCAGGTGGCTATACTGCACAGAATCAAGCTGGTCTTGGCCTAATCGTAGTCCCTGCTGTGATTTTGGTACCACTTCAATACTTAATGTTTGGAGTTGGTGAGTATTTATTTCTTCACTAGCTTGAGAACACACTGATAGAAAAACTGAGCTCCACCCCCCCATAATCTATATACTGTTTTCATTTTTATAAATAGGTGCTATGATAGGGCCCTGGCTTCCTGACCTTCTTAGTATCTCAAAACAAAATGTTTAACCTGTGTGTGTTTGGCTAAGTTGCTTCAGAGAAGAAGTTACCTGCTTGAAAAACAAGATATAGGGTAGGATGTCCGAGTGATTCCTGCTCTTTCTTCTTGGGTCTTGGAACTGGATGAATAAATAACTCTCAGAATGTGTGTGTTTCATTTTTTTCTACTCATGGTTTATTTATAATTTTATTTATGTACATAAATTTTTTTTGTGTGTGTATACATACAAGAGCCCTGAATGACTTGCAGTCACTTGTGAGTTTTGATATCACACTGGCTGGCTGAGCTTGGAATTCAGGAGAATCTGATTTCTAGCTTTATGTGAATGATCTAGCTTTTGTGTCTCTGTAGTTAAACTTTAAAAACTACAATTTTGTTTCTCTTTCTGTCTTTCCCAGTTTTCGAGAGTCTACAGCAAGCAACATTTGCTCTGATAGGTTTGCAAATTCTTGGTTATGTAATTGCTGTGGTTGGTTTTGCACTGTGTGTCTCAGGTAAGCAATTTATCTTCTGTAAAAGTGTCTTTACTTTTGTCAGGACCTGATGTTTGTTTGTTTTGTAACACTAAAATGCTGTGAAAGTGGCTTCACTACGTTGAGTGTTAGCAAATAACTTCTGTAAATGTACTTTAGGACTACTGTGTTAATGCTCTTTTATCTGGTGAAAGAAGAATAGCCCAAAGGCAGTATTACATATCATTTTCATTAGTATGACTATATCCAGCATGTGTTCTATGAACAGTTGCTTAAAAAAAAAAAAAAAATTGTTTTAATTTTGCAACAGTTAGTGCTCTAAAGAGTCACCTAAAACCAACACTGACCTTTATTATTGTTGTTCTTACTGAGGCCTAGGGTATTTAGAAACTAAGAGTCATAATAATTTTTTCATGTTCAATGAATAAATCAGAAATTCTTTGTTAATCTCCACTTGGATGCAACTGATAACCAAGTTGCTGAGAAACAAATACCATTGAAACAGCCTAAGAAGGCAAACACGGAGACAGTAAAGTTGACATGTTCTTGGACTGTTTTAAGTCTGGTTGTGGCTGGCATTCTGTTTCAGCACTGAGAAACAGTCAGTGTTGTCAGGGAACACCAACTAAACACTACGCACAGTGATACCCCTTATCCCTGCCTCTAACCCTCCCTTTGTCCTCTGCTTGCCTTCCCCTCCACCCACTAGAAAACCCCACAGCAGAGAAAAGGGTGAATTTAGGACTAGGCATCCTTGGCAGTATATTTAGTAGTAGAATACATACTTGTGTTCATTAGAAGCACTTTATACCCCTGATTTATTGTTTCATAGAGACAGTCTTAATTTTAATCGTTTATTTGGTTGGGGATTTAAGAAAAACTGTTTCTCCTTGAAGTGGTTTCTAAAGGTTTGTCTAATCTGAGTGAAATGACAGACCTTCAGTGATTTGAGTTTTATGCTTATTGTTTAGTATTTACAGAAGTATTTCTAAGGGGCACCTAAGTGTTGTCAAATGTAATAGTAAAATAAACTGGTGGGAGACTTCTGGTAAAGCATTAATCCTCTAGAGTAATGCAAAATGGAGCATGTTTTTATAACGTTCTCAAATGAAAGGCTCCCTAGTTTTTCAGGGTGACCTTTGCACAGGTCACATAAGGTAGATGTTATCTGTATCTCTGGAAGTTTAGCTCAATGACCCTTAAGTGTCAGTAGAAATAGCTCATCCTAGGTTGAGCTCACAGACAGTTGCAATGACTTCAAATCCGTGGAAACAAGAATCAGACAACAAGGAGTTTCTGTAGTGAACTGTGGTTAGGTTGTAATAGCCTGTTCCCGCTCTGTGATATCCCTGTAAACATGGAGCATTCCTGTTATCTCTGGCGGATTTGCCTCAGAACTACCCTCATATTCTGCTCCCTTCTTCCCTTTTTTTACTCTGTTTTATCAGTAACAGTATTGTATTCTGTGGTCTAATGCAATTATAGTTCAAAACAATTGGGATTGAAGATACAAGTTTAAATTTAAAATACAGTTAATGAAACAATGTTGTCAGTTGCAGTGAATGCCAGTAGAATAGCTAAACTGTAGTAGAATAGGACAGTTAAGCAGGATAAAATCGGTAAATGCCTCTGTATCATTAAAGAATCTATACAGAAAAAGATGCAGAAGTAGTTCTGGGATAGCTTTGAAAGATTAATTAATCATGTGTGTTTTTATCAGGCTTATTTATTTTAGTATTCAGTTACATCCAAAAATAAAAGTTTGTGCTTTTACTTGTGTTGGGTGATGCAGTTTCTTTTATCGTGTTTTTAACAGCCTGTCCTCCATTACATGGGTCTGTTGTGATTGCTGGCTTAGCTATTATGGCTATTGCACATTTGCTTAGTCTGGCTTACGTATTTATTATGGGTAAGTAGCACCTAATATTCTGCCTTTTTTTTTAGCACTTAAATATTCAGGAGAGCAATTTTCTCTATTGTACTATTCAGAGGCAGACACAGCTTATTTGAACATAAGGTGTGATTTCACAATTACATAGTTTAAAAATCACTGAAAAGTTGTCTGTATATATTGGCTTTGTTTCATAGAGCCTGTGGGGAATCTTGAGTAAAGAAATTTACAGTTTATCATAATAAACTGTCTTGAGATGGACACAACCAGGTTTCTTAAGTAAGAGTGTTTCAGCTGTAGGACAGATGTTGCTGTTTAAGCTCTGCATTTACACAGTTGACTAGCTGAAGCTTAGAACGAAGAGAGCAAAAGGATTTCAGAGATTCTATGGAGTGGGTTATGGGATGGTGCAGACAAAATATGAATTTAAAAAAGCAAAATACGCCTAGTGATTTCCACTGGTTGGAGGTGCATTAAAATATGAACGATTTGAATGCACACCTTTCATTTTAGTGAATCCTGCTTGTGCTTTATTTTAAAAGCTAGGAGCAAAGAATAGCAATACTGTTTCAGAAACTGGTCTGTTCCCCAGATCTCAAAAAGATAGGTTTAAAGGTGTAAAAGCCAGTCAGGCCTGCTAAATAAGCAAAAAACATAGCAATGCTGTGTGATTGGAATGGTGGCACACCACAGCATAACATCATGTGGACTTTACAGCTTGGGTCTGAGAGCAGAGTGACTTTATTTGTTTAAAGCTGTGCATCAAGGCTCTTCAAACAGCTTGTTAGTTTGGACGCAGAACCATGCAATTGAGGATATATTGCTTCCAGACTCAAGCTTATGTGTACAGTCAGCGCAGTCCTTGGTCTGCACTGAACTGTGCAGTCTTCCAGGTTTAGTATATGCACACTGAGTGTGGGCGTGGCCAGAAATAATAGACCCTGAAACAGGGAGGATTTCTATTAAAGAAGAAATTAAGGCAGAATGCCTAATATTTGATACCTGAGATAGGTGAAGATGAGTCAAAAATGTGAGGTGAAGCAAGCCTTTCAACAACAACAACAAAAGTAATTTTTATTGACTTCAATGCTGTGTGCTAATGGTCTGCATAAATATTGCATTTGTAGTTTGATTTTGCTGGCTGAAGAAGTCAAATGTGACTGTTGGGGTAGAATCCAGCACACCAAAATAAGCACAAAGAATAGTGTGTAGTGTAATTCATTTTTAGAACTGAATGTGTAAGTGAGACAATTCACACACTGTACCTGATAAGATTATTCAATTCCTAAACAGAGGAGTGCTTTGAGGCTTTAAGAATTTGCAGATCATCATATTAAGTAGTTTTGGTTAGGGGAAGCTTCAGTTTTGTGTGTTGATACTCTGTTCCAAGTTTTATCAATAGGTATTTTTATTCAGTTGACGATGACATTTATTCATCTGCCTGGTCACTTCTTTGTAATTATTTTAGGTTCCAGAATGAAAGATCATCCTCGTCCAGGGGTAAGCTTAAAATTAATAAATTTGGGGTGACTAGATGGCTCAGGGGATTGTAGTGAGATACTGAACCTTTCTTCACTAGTTCGAATTCAGACCAGGTTGGTAGCAAGCAAAAGTTCTGGCTGTGTAACAGATGTCTAATGTTGAGTGAGTTGGTGGTCTTCATTGTCCCTATTGAGTGTGTCTACAGTACTGTAAGTGGCAGCCTTACCTAGCGGCTGCTCTGACTGTTGTGCCCAAATGGGAATTTCAAGGGCTGTCACAAAAAGGTGGTGGATGTGAAGGGAACTTTGGTGTTCTTTTACAATGCACTCTTTCACAGGAATTTATAAAGACCTTTTGCTCACCTTAATAAAAATACTTTTTCATTAAGGTCAGTGCAAAATACGGTTGATTTTTTTCATCTAGGTGGCTTATAACAAAGGCTTCGTTTTTTCTTTTCCTATGGTCTTTTACACCAGACCCCTTTAATAGTCTCTTGAATTCCCAGCTATACGGATGCTATAGCCTTGGATCTTTTTTTTCTTTCCTTACTTTCCTATAATGCCCCTTAATTTCATGAGACCATCTGGAAGCAGAGTGTCTGTCTTTAGGTAACACAGAACAAATGGAAAAGCACTTTGTTGTTTTAAGGAAGGTTTTTCAGTCAGTTTTTTTGATTTCAAGAGTAATCATTCCTAAAACAGTAATTTTCATAGACTTACGCAGTGCTTTCTGGTGATCCATGACTACAGACTGCCTGATTTCTGGAGTTCTGCAGAAGCAAGTAAAGAGGCACAACTGTATAATACCAGTAAAATTTCCTTGTAACAGGGGAGCATGGCAAATACTCTCCTTTTCAGTCTACAGCCTGAGACCCAGCTGTTGAAGAAAGATGGTTTCTAACAGTGGGGTGTGAGAGCTGACTGAATATAGGACAACAGAGATTTTTTTTTTCTTTGCTTTTTCTTATCTGTTTTTCATTTTTAGGAATAGTATTTCAGAGGATTGGTGTTGCTTAGGGAAGGAATATAAGTGCATGGCGTTTTTAAAAAAAAAAAAAAGTATTACAGATATGCTTCTTTCAAAACGCAATCTTGCCTTTATCTGATATGCTTATGTTTACTTGTAGATCGGAAGCAAACAGGGCAAGAGGAGATATATTTTTTTTAAAACTTAGTTTTTGGTTGTAAATAAGCTTTGAAATAGAAACCCATGTGCTAAATAACATCCTTTGTGGAACTCCATTCTCCTTATGAGCTGTTCTCTTCACAAGGTGGTTTTACACTGCAGCAAGGATTTGACAAATAAATAGCCAGAGTTATGTAGTAGTGAACACCATGTTACTCTCTGAATTGGAGACAGGAATGAAATCTAAAGAAATTTTTAAAACTTAGCGGTCATTGGAAATCTTGGCCACTAAAAATAACGGTTTTTGCGGCTGCAGTTAGTGGAGGGTTAGATACAGAGGAATTCAGGTGACAATAATTTGTGCTCATGACTTCCAGAAGTTACAGAAAGATCTAGTGAAAAACTAAGTGTGTTTATAGTATGTTGCTTGTTTCCATCAAGGAAAGCATATGTTGCTGTACTTTGAGGCAATATACAGGTGTGAAGTGATTTTGAAAATACACTTTGATTCTGTGCGATCTAAAGACTATGGAAAACTCGGTATCAGTCAAGTGCTTCATTTTGACGCTGGGGCACGCTTACAAAATGATACTTAATATTTTCGAGTGTGAGAGGGAAAAGGTGCATATCTTGAATTCTGCCATCTTAACCAATTACTGATTTTTTTTTTAACATTTCTGCAGATTGCGTGTGTTGTTTCTGCTGATTGTCTACCAGACTAAACGCACAATTGTGGTGTATTTCCTTTTGAGGAGATTACACTTGATTGCTTGGCTACTTTTTTTTTTTTAGTCATGCTGTTTTATTACTAACCATTGATCAAATCACAGAAATAACCAGTTAGGTTTCAGAGCTTAAAAGTAGTATCTGCATGCCTTTTGCTGCCACCTAGAGGTATTTCATCTGAGGAAAAAATTACAGTGGGGAAAACATAAGCTGGAGAATGCAGTTATTGATTATTTAATTTTTTTCAGAACTCTAGTCATTAATTTTATTAACATTCAGCTTTCTTCATTTTTGTAGAATCACTACTTACTGTATATGTCAATTAGAGTAATTTAACTGTGGCGAGCCAAAAGTAAACATGAAGGCTTTTTATACATATATGTATTTTTAAATGTTTTGCAGAAAGCTGTAGAAGAACCACTAAATGGTAGGTGATATTCAAGGCTTATCTTCTAATTAAGGGATTAATTATGGAAAAAGGTCAAAAAATAATTCTGGTTCTCAGTACAACAGCACTGAGATGGCAGATCGGTATGTCAACTTACGTGGCTCTGTGAGTCAGTAAGAGTTTGATCTCTTGATGAAATTATGCCTGCAGCTCCAGATTCCCTGTTCTACGCTACTGTGCTTGCTAGCCAGTGGCATCGTTTGACTGTTTTAGGACAAATCTAGTATCTCAGGATATTATATCCACCCTCTTTGCTTTGCAAAACGTCCAACTTTTAAGAGGAAAAGAGGGACAGGTCTTGTTAATTCTTCTTCATAAGCATTTATCTTGATGAAATACTTAGGATTATAGCAAAATCAATCCTTGGCACTCTATTCTTTTGATAGTTCTTTGGGTTGGGGAAACTCTTCCATGGTGTTGGGAAATTTTGGTAGCGCTTAAGATGGGGGAAATCTATGGTAAGAAAGGGATGACTCTGATTTTTATTTTTTTTTTTTTCTGCTATTCTGTTCACTAATTGGCATGCTGGCTAGTAGCAAGTTCTAACTGGAATTTTAGAATTAATCTGAATATTATTTCTGAAGCATTTCTTGCTGCTTTGCTCATTACTAATCTATTTGTTTGGCTTTTAAAGATGCAAAAGGAGTGATGTTAGAATGATGGTAAGTCCAAATATATGTCCAGTTATTTATTTTAATTAACATGTAGCTGGGGATTTTGATGTTTAGAGTTACCTAGTGCTAATATGATGAAACTTGGAGGACAGGTTTCAGTGCAGATGCTGTTCTTATTCAAATTACATTTCACTGAAAAGAAAGAATACATAATTTCTGTATCATACATAGGGGAAGAATGTGTATTTCTAAACAGTGAAGAGGATGAGTCAGTGACAGGGAACTATTAAATAGTATGTTTCTGATCAAATGTGGAAAGTCAAATAGCTTGTATGCTTGCTTTATGTTTATATAGTATTTAAGATGCATGGACTGTTTCCTTGGTGGTGGGTTGTTGTATTTGGTTGGGGGGGAGGGGAGGTTGTTGATATAACTAAGCCTTCTCTACGTATTTAATTGGTGATCTCCCATGGAAGTTCACAGGAAAGTGGTTTAAAAGTAGACTTTCTCTCCCCCTCTACCCCTTTAGATGTTATTTAAATTCTCTGGGTTTTGTTAGATTGTTTGTATTCCAATCAGATTTCATACATTTATTATTTTTCAGGGTCAGATAGTAGTGTTTAAAAATGAACAGAACTGAAACATATCTTAATAAATTTAAGAACTGCTTAATTAACTTCAGCATATTTTTGACAAACCTGAATTTTGAACTTTTAAGATCTAAAGTGCACTGTGGCCTCTTCTGCTCATTGATTATGCTTGATGTTTAAAGATCTACCAAATACTGTAAACAAAGATTTATGTTGCAGTGTCCTGGCCTAACTTAAGATCTCTTCTGATTTGAAATGTCCTCAATGCTGGGATTAGTCATTTTTGATTTTATAACAGCCTGTAAGATTGCAACACCTACTACATGTAAATAGACTCCTCTTGATTTATAATAAGCCATGAAATGAGAGAGACTGTATTAACTTGGCCCAAAATTCCCAAACTGGTACCTAAAGCAGGTAGCTAAGTTTGTGAAGATTCTTGGTTCCTGCAGCTCATATCCGTCAGAAGAGTAACAGAGTTTGCCTGGCCAGATTGCTCTCAGTGAAGAGCTTGTATTTTAGATTAGATGCTCAGGTTTGAAAATGAAAAAAGCCTTTTACTGATTGTTTTCTGTTCAGAAGCTGTACTTCCTTTTCATGGGAGTAGGATAAAAGAGCACTTGTTTGATGCTATTGGTACTTAGTTTCTTCCTGGAAGCTGAGCAAGCTTGTCATGAGGTGTCACTAGACCCTTAGCCCAGTACTCCTGCATCAAATGACAACATTTTGCTAGTCAGGATTAAGAGTAAGGTCACTCTAAATCTGTTAGTTTACTTGAAATATCTTTATATCATGCCACTTCTAGAAGGCATGAATTGACAATGTGACAATAAATGAGGTACTAGTTGGCCCTGATTGGAAGAAGGTGTATCAGCTGGTTTTAAAAACAGGCTTCCTTACAAATACCATGTACTGCTAGGTTTATGTTACTTAAGACTACTGCATGATTCATCCAGATATGCCAAAGGATTATTTTCTAAACCAATAGGAACACAAGCACTTTGGCAGTACAAAGGACAACTGCATTGGTGTCTCCTAAACGCATTGATAAAATGTACACCACTTAGTATAATCTGAAGTAGGAGGAGTGGAAGGTAGGTCCTGCTTCAGAAGTGGCTGTTGCTTGTTCTTCAAAGGCAGTGGTTTGAGATCAGGAAACAACCAGATATTTGCCAGTCTGTTGCATTCAGAACCGACCAGAAGGGAGATAAGGATGGGATCAATACAGTTACCACATACTGCTGAAGAACCAGCAAGAGTTTTGCTTCGAGATCCAGTTTTAAATAAGTTGACTGTTTCCTTGGGTCTCATTTAGGCTTATAAAAACCTGCCTCTTCTAGTGCTGAGGTAGAGCTTCCAAAAGCACAGAAACTGCTAATTACCCATTTCATTTTGACTTTTAGGGTAGGGTTAGAAGTCTGTCTGCTTTTTCTGCCCTGAAAGATGGCTCCTAAAAATAACAGAAGGTTTTACAGATCGAAAGCAAGGGCTCTGACTCGCAAGCTGGAGGCAGGAACCATTTGAGCTCTACCTGCTTTCTACCTTATCTTAAATATGTCATCACAGAGGCACAACCAGCATCGCTGATGGGGGTCAGCCTTGGCTAGAGGCAGGTCCAGATTGGAGCTGGGGAAGCTTCTAGCAGCTTCTCATAGCAGCCACCCCTGCAGCCCATCCCCTGCTACCAAAACCCTGCCACACAAACCCAAAGCACCTTGAAAGTTCATACACACACTGAAGGGGGGATGAGTCAGGCTGAAGCACACCAGCTTACAACGTAGCATGTGAAAGTAAACCAGCATTAGAACTAAAGGCAGGATGGGTCAGACAGCTAAGTCTGGGAGCTGCTACAGCTTATTCCAATTCATGAGCTGTAGCTTGAAGACAGTGTCCACTTTTCTGGACACTGTGGAGAGGCTGAAACATCGCTTGCTGCTAGTACTGCTCTTTTCCATTACTTCAGCACTAAGCGTGCTTTCAAAGTTTGAAATAAAAAAAAAAAAGTCATTTTTTTAAGCTGTAACTTAGGTAGGCTGCTCTTCCCACGATCTTCTCTTCTTTTTCTTTTTCTTTTTTTTTTTTTATAATTCCCAGACCTGCAGAGCTATGTGATGTGTGAAAAGTACACCGTTGTTGATACACCGTGGCCTTGAAGATGCACTACTCGACGAGAAGAAATTCAGGAAACTAGTTGTTTTGCATGTGTGGCAAAAGTGCTTTTGATATAAATGATGTAATTTTATAGTCACAGCAGCTGTAGCGAGGAACATGTGTGTTTGCCCACATGTGATCTTTATTTTCTTCTGTTATGGTATATATGGGATGGTTGAGGGTGAGAATATGAAAAGCACTGTTTGCCCACTACAGGGTCTCCCTGCAGTAATCCTTAGTGGTATTATTTTCAAAAACTATCATTAGTCACTGCTTCGATAATGGGCCTGCTCAGCCCAAAGATTGCAATACCATTCAGACTTGTTTTCTTTATTTGTGTGCATGGGCAAGGTATGGTCATATGTCTATGATACAAGCAGGAAGTAGAGATTGTACAAATACATCTTTTCTGACATTCAGCGAAACTTTTATAAAAAAAATGCTTATACACAAAGTTGCATAAGTACAAAGTTTACTCCCAGCTCTCCTTGAGTTATTAGTCGAGTTCTCCTAATTCCACAAAACAGTAGTATTCCTCTCCATGGGCAGGAGCCATGTATGCTCTGGTGGCTGATATTTTAGTCCAGTGAGCAAGCTCTCCATGCCTCTTCCGCATTCTTTGATGAGAAACTGCTCAGCTGTTGGAGCCTAATTCAGCACTGGAATTCTGGAGCACAGCAGCTAGTAATTTTCATGCTGAATGTGGTTCTTTTGTATGTTCATGTTGTACAGTGTGTGGTACTGGAAGCAATTTCAGGTTTTCTTAACTCAGTGAATTTGTAAAACTCATGGATGCTTCATAAAAATAGGAGCTGTCCTATTTAGTGTATTTTTGACAGAGTTTTAAAATCTGTTTTCTTGAATGGAAGAAGGAGCTATTTAATTTCTGACCCGAGTTTGTGATGCTGCCATTACATCACAAATACATAAAATAGAAAGTAAGTAGGAGGAGCTGATGGGAAGTGAGGAGGCTCTGTTTCTGTGTATATATATAAGTGGTACAGTTAAAAATCAATTTTCTAGGACTTGCACATTCCATGAGATTTTACCACGTTTTACAACTGTTTTGAGAGTTGTTCCAATATAGTTGGCTTCTCTTGGACTTTTATGTATACTTTGTAGAAATCTTGACACTGTCTCCTATTCATACTAAGGTAATGTATTTCAAAGGCACACATGGTTTTCTCCTTGTAACAATTTAAAACTTTGTTTGGAAAGCTGTTGCCAAACAGTAATGTAATAAAATCCATGTTTTTAAAGGTTCCGAGTCATTTGGCAAGTCTCAGAGTTGGATGTTGTAAACTAGAGTTCATATCCGTGTTGTGGGTGCATGTTGCAGAGATTCAGGTCTCTGCATGTTGAGCTCCAAGCCTTGATGCAGACACCTTGCATCAAGAATTCAACAAAATATAATTGAGGTATCCGATTTTACAATATTTACTCTCATAAACAGTCCTCTTGCTAGGGCTGCAGGATTGAACCACTTAAAGCAACCCATGGTCCAGCCCTCACTAAAATCAGTGGAACTGGCCACAATGAAGAGGGTTATTCATGTGATAAAGCATTTAAGAAGCATGTATGGTTTACATTTACTTTCATACCTTAAAGTTTGTCAGTGGCAGTATTCATATAATATTTGAGGTCCTATATAGGAATCTTCTGATACAGGTTCTTCTGTAATCACAGCAATCTCTACCTAAAGATAGGAGATTACTCTCCATTAACAATTCAGTGTAAGAATTTACCTGATTTAAGTACCATGCAGAACTCACTGTTTATAACTAGTGATTCCCTCTGGCAAGTTGAAAGTTGAGCAGTTGAGGAATAAAAAACAAAGCAATGGGAATTCTCTTGAGGTATTCTGCCTTATAAAAACCATTATGTATGATAGCTTTATGTTAACTTCTGTAAAGCAAACTGCAGTAGAACCCGTTTGTGTCACTGTGGGATGAGGCTGAGCTGTTACTAGGCATTGCTGAAACCTGAGGAGCTCAGTGGCCCTGTACAGGCTTCAGAAGCAATTCCCCAGAAATGGGAGAAACCCACCCTCCTGTTGTTGTGTTATGGGCTCTGCTCTGGATTTCTTGTGGGTACAAATTTAAAAGCAAGGCTTTAAAAAGTCATTGATACACGCAGCCCTTTCCCACCAGTAATTTAAAACCAAAGTTGTTCATAACTGTATGCTTCCATTTGTGAGTTTATGTGTGTGTGTGTATATAAATATATAGACATTTTAAATATCTATAGATCTATAGTCTTTACCTGAGAAAATGTTTTTATTTATGAAACATGAAACAATTTTGTAAATATTGTGCTAATATACTTAAAAAATAAAGTCATTTTAAGTTGTTTTTGTGAGAGGTTTTTCTTGGTGCTGTCACACTGAACTTCTGTAACTCCTTCCATGAATTCATAGTCATAAGCTCTTCTCCCTGCTTTTACACCCTCTGTCTCCCCCCAGATTACTTACTGGATATACAGGAACAGGCTCTGTTGCTTAGGCTGCTGCAGATGGTTTTGGTTGGGAGATCTTGGTGTTTCTCCTTAAAAAAGTCATCTAGTTGGGGAAGAAAGTACGTGGATTGCCCTCTAACAACTTGAATTGGGCTGACTGACTTCAGCCGTCGAATGTTGTCACCCAAGTATGCTGTGGGAGGCAATATGATCTGAGGAATAACAAGCTCCTAATGTAACTTTAAAAGCACAGCGGAGCAGTGCATACTTCCAGTCAGTCTTCGCAGCGCTGAAATGACATTTCTGTGTGTTACTGCTAAAGCACTATTGTGTAAGTTCCAGATTTTCTGAAGTTGTGTTTGACATTTGTTTGAGAGTGGAGAAACGGGAGAAGGTTGTTAAGTCCTGTCCGGAACTGTTTGCGCTCTCACATCCCCTTCAGTGGAGCTGAGCTGATGGGAACAGTTACAGTTATTAGCAGTTCTCTGCTTGTTCAGGGTGATTTGAACCATGGCTGTTCCTTCAAGATCTCTTCTGAAATCTTCTGTGATTTCCCTACACACACACTTTCCTCTCTAAAGAGCCATGAACCACAGTTTGAGTTATGAAATGTGAAAGTTTTAGATTTTGCTGTGCAGGGACCTAACTGCAGGGTGAACTGTAAGCTCACAGTGATCCTGGTCCTAAAGCTCAGGAGAACTGCGTGCTTGAACTTTGGGGTGAGAAAAATGGTGCTAATCTAAATGTAAGTGGTTGGAGAGTATCTCAATGCAATCACATCTAATACCTGTAATTCAGACTGTTCCAATCAGGTAAGCCAGGAAAACCAACCCAAACCTGACCTGTCCAGTCCAGAAGCCTTCTGGAAGAGCTTCAGTGCTTTATCAGAGCTCCATAGTTGAACATTTACTACTGTAGTTACCTGCCTAATAGCAGAGTGGACATCCTCTAGTTCTTTCAGCTTCACAGAAGAATTTATTTTTTTTTTCTCCAGTAAGTAATTCTTTTGTGCTTAGTGTTCTGTGCCTTTGTCATAGATACAGCCAGTACTATCCTGGAGTTAAGTACATCTTCCTTCCTGTGTTCCCAATGACTCCCGCAAAACTTCCATGATGAGAGAAGCGCGTGAGCCGGGCTGTCTCTCCTGTTTTGTTGGTTGCCTGCCGTTGCGTGCTTCTGCAACCCAGCGAGGGTACGGTGTGGCCGGGGGGGTGCACGCCAAACCAAGGCGCTGCGGTGCCTGCACCCCTGCATCAGCAGAGGATTAGCTCTCGGAGGGCCCCTCGTCTGCCGCAGCTGGGATATACCATAAGGGGAAGGCATAGTCGTGAAGTATGAGAAAAGGGCAGAACCAGGCAATACTTCAGTGGATCCGTGAATTGGCAAGAAACTTTAATACACAAACGTAAGTAGCATGGAGATGGGGATCATCTGCTTTGGGGGAGGAGAACTGCGGTGTTGAAACAAGTTATGGTTTCCTCCTGTTCTTGTGTTTGCTTGCTTGTTTTTGAAGACTACAGAAAGGCTTTTGAAATTATTGGGCTGGAGAGTGGGTGCAATGAAGGGAAAAGAGATTCTGTCATGAATACGTGTTTGGTGGTAGAAGTTTTTTAAAGAGCTTAGGAACTGCAGATCTGCTGGAAGAGTGTGAACAGTTTCTCCAGCTTGACTCTTAACAGTGGTACGTTTGGGACCCTTCAGGAGTTGTAAGACAATTTATATAGTGCTAGCTTCTGCGTGTTACCAACCCGCTGACCGAGCGGAGGTACTTTGGGACATACAGTTGTTACATGAACTTGGCATGCTGCCTCCGTGCCGCCGTGATGTCCCTTGGGCATAGTAACTCACTGGTGCAGAGTGAGGCCTGGCGCACCTTCCACTTGAATTAGAAACTGTTTGAAGTACTGAATTTTACCTGTCATTCACAATTTATGTACTTGCAGATAATGAAAGATTTTGAAACTGATTGCTCTAGCTAGTTAGTATTCCCCCCACCCCCCCCTTCTTTTAAGACTGCACAAATAGGTACAGGTTAAAGTCAGAATGATTACCAGTCCTGTGGAAAAAATGAAGGAAGGCAACATTTTTCAGAACTTCTACCTTAGGGTCAGCTTAATGGTAGTTTTATTTGGTTACATTCTTTTGACTTTCTTCTTTTTCTTTCATAAATGCAGCAGGAATTGCTTTCAGAGCAAGAGCAGTTGGTTGTATTGTGGGGGTTTGGGGTTGGGGGGGAGGTGTCTGTGTAAGAAAGCAGTATTCTTTAATAAATTAGGTATATGCAGAAAAACCAGCAGAAATTCACTCTGCTGTTGACCAGAATGTTCATCCAAGCACAAACAATGAAAAGTTCAAAAGACGACAGTAAGGAGAATAGGGATCTTTAAGGTCTATCCATTACAATTAATTTCATTTAAGTTCAAGCGTAACCAGTCAATACAGAGTTTCACTGAAGCAAAAGGTGATTTAGGATTCTCTGACATCTCTTACGAGTTGAGCTCTGTGGAAAAGAGAAAATTCACCTTATTAAATATGAAGTGGAAGTAAAGGCGCTGTGTGGTGTACAGACCTCTGCAGGTACTGGGAGTCAGCCTAGGCAGAACTTGGAAGCTTTGATTTGTCCTGCATCAAAGAACACTGAGAATTTAAGGGTTATAATGAAATGATACAAATTAAAGGAGCACAGCATGGAAGCAGATGCCTCTGTACCCTGCACTGCACAGTGAGGTTTTCGGAAACAATCCCTCTATAGCTGGAGTTACGTGTACTTGATGCACCATTTGCATTCTTAAATCAGGCTTTGACAGAGCAAGACAGTTTCTATTCTAGGATGTCTGTGAGGTTTCAGCTGGCATAGAAACAGATAAGCAGGTACAATTGTAGGAACCTAAAATGTCCTTCCTGCTTCCTCCTCCCTCACCTGGTATGTAGGTAGGAAAAAACAAGTTGTTTTTTTGATAGACTGAGAAAGCTGAACA